CCATAATGAGCCAGATCGAGACTGGAATAGATTGACTTTAAAGTTTTAACTTGGCAGTGCTTTTAAGCTTGAGAATTCACAATTCTTTGAACTTTTTGAACTTCTAAAGAACTATATTTTATGATAAACTTGCCTGAAAAATGACACAAAATGACATTCTTTCTAGACTCATTGCCTTCATCAATTCATTACCTTTTAAGGCATCACGTCATTTTTTTACAATTCCTTCCACATTCTCGATCGTTATGCTTTCACAACTGCTAAAAACGATACATGCAAGTTTCGCTTGGAAATCTAAGCCAGAACGTAATTTCAATTGATAGAATGAAATTTTTCCACTGAATAGGATATCCTGTCAGAATAGAGTTTTTAGTCGTTAGCAACTAATCATATTATATCTTAATTCATACGAGACCCAAAACAGGATTGTCACCCAACAAAAGATTTGCAGAACAGGTTTCCTTTGAACGTGTGTAGGTATTTATTTGGCATGGCGCAAGTAGGAGCATGCTAGGCATAGAATTTTTGAAACACGGTGACTAATGCGTCTAAAGGATAAATGAATGAGAACGGCTTTTATCCTCGATTAGTCATTTCTTTTGCTTATGCCAAGTACTTGACATGGCTAGGTGCTGAAAGACTTCTAAGCCAATATATTGATATGCAAGAATCAGCTCAGCGGTCACTGGCTTGTTGAGGGATTAACCTATGGACTGGTTGATAGAGGCAATGTCTTTAGCCTATATCAGCCTCCCCTCTCAAAAGGTCAAATTAAAAAAAAAAATTAGTCCGGAGTAGTTGTACGACATATTTTTTTAAAATCATACTTTTGTCCTGTAAGATGTTTGAATTCAATGTTTCGCGCCAATTTATCAGTATTGGGAATCTCTGGGTACGATAATTTACTCCATCTTTAGTTGGAGAAACGGCTCACAGCAAATCTGCTACATTAAGGAAGAGATAGTTGGAATATAGTTCGAGTTGCTAGTAATTTAAGTGATTGGAATAAACCAGAAGTGAAATTCAAGAAGACGTGTTACAATTAGTATAAAACAATGAACATAAAAATTTGGAGCGTCGTACCGTCACTAGATGGATGACCTCGGATTATCAGCGCATCAAGAAACACGCCGCTGATCCTTAGTGGAGACTTTCCCGAATGGATTATTAAGGACACATAGTGAAAGTTCTTAACAAAAAAGCTGTTTCTGTGAAATGTTTTAACTTGCAAACTCTTGATAGTAATTAGCAAAAGAGAGTGTAGTGGAACAAATCTGCATCAGCAAACATTTGATTGCATTAATTCCTGAAGAAAAAGTAGTGGTCTGCTATCTGAAAACGCGTATTTTGAACATTGTTAGTAAAGCATTTTTTGGAGAAAAAGTAAATTCGGTTAACCACTTTGGCCTCAGATCTCGGTCGTAACATCGAAAATACTTTGGCAACTTTATATTTGAGAAGCTCTATTTTGTTCTAAAAAAAAACATATCGCGATCACACCGCATTGTTCAAGTGGCGATTGTAGTGCGACAATGCTGAGCGACGCTTTTCATTAGCTGGTTCTTGCATAATCCCGGCACGACGAGATGAGCAAGCTGGTTTCACACTTTACGACTTATATCTTCATCTCTTGCCGTGTACGAGCAAGCACAGGAGTGAATGATAAAGAGGAAATTTCTTGAATCTTGAGGGCAAAAAATCCAATCTCACTTTACAGTAATCGACTTCGTTTTGCAACAGTGTCTGAACATGCTGGACGTAGTTATATATCAATGGAACAGATAAAATACAGACAAATGCAGCTACGACAGACATTGCCACTCCTGAAATTTAAAGCTAGATTAGATATGTTTATTCATCACAGTAATATTAGGTAAACCTGCTATTGCAAGCGATTTTGAGCGATCAGCTTCCGCCTGGAGTTGAGCCTCCCGATCCTTTCCCATAGTGTTCGAAAATGTACCAATATCACTATAGCTCACAGTATCAAGTCGAGAAATATGTTGATAAATGCGGAAGCAGAAGGATTTTCAGGGACGGAGGGAAAGGATTGATGCGTAAAATGAAATCGGAATCGATGGGGACGGCTGGAGAAAGGTGCGCTTGCTAAAGTAGCCGTGAACTCAGGCGGTCGGCATTCCGATATTTCGCAAGCCGGTCAGACCTTTGTTGCGCTGATCTTCACTGCTACTGTTGCAAACG